ATGCAGGTTCCCTACAGAAAAGCTCTAGTACGACCCAGACCACGTTAAATCAGAGCACAAAGCAAGTGCCTGGGCTCTGCTACATATCAATCTGAACTGGCATCAAAGTTACCTGGTTACTCAAGGAAACAAGCAGAGCCAAGTTTACAAGATATTTACACAAAGATGAAGTAAACGTTCTATCACACTAACCTATCCCTCACATAGGTTAGCATGCTCAGATCAGGGCTACATCCCGCCCTGGTTTCCCAAGGATCACCAGGAGCAGTACACACGTGGCCTTCCACACATGGAGGACACCCACATGTGGCCCAATGAAAGGATTATGAACAAGTCAGATACTAAACAAGCCCATGTTAGAGTAAAAGATCTGACAATTGTTAGCATCAGAGGGAAAGTGGTTACTGCTTAAAAGGATATTCTGGATCATTATATAGCTATAATAATTTTTTTATTATACAGAAGGAATAGGCAGCATATAATCTACATATAACTATGAGAGCTAAATTTCTTCTGAAGAGAAAAGGCCTGGCATCTTCAGAAAAGAAAGAAGAGGTCTTGCAGATATTAGCTGCAGAAATTCAGAACAAGGACTTGTCAGTATGCACTAGATGCTTAGAATACAGATACAGTATAAAAACACATTAATAGCACACATGAATTATCGGACCTTGATGCTGCTTCACATCATCCAAACACTCTCATCCTTGATCCACCCAAGAACAGGCGCACCACAGCATGGTGAAGTCTAAGGTCAACAGGGGAAGTACAGCCAGTGGTAAGCATAAAGGTTGATACGGAGGTTTCCCAGACTGAGCGAATAATAGAGATCAACTCATGAGACCACTGGAGAAGATTCCTGCTTCCCTTCAAGCTTTCAGCTTAAAAATCTAGCAGACACATCTATAAGAAAAATGAAGTATTTTTCAATTCAGCAATACACAAGATAGCACATTTGTGGAGGACTGTCTCCCACGGGAGGAACCCCACACTGGAGCAGGAAAAGAATGTGAGGAGTTTAGCGACAGAATGAGAGGAAATGGCCTCAAGTTGTGCCAGGGGACGTTTAGACTAGATATTAGGAAAAATTTCTTTACAGAGAGAGTGGTCAAACATTGGAACTGCCCAGGGAGGAGGTGGTGGAGTCGCCATCACTGGAAGTATTTAAAAAACTTGTGGATGTGGCACTTCAGGACATGGTTTACTGGGCCTGGTTGGCTTGATGGTTGGACTTGATCTTAAAGGTCTATTCCAACCTTAATGATTCTGTTAGTCCTCACGCTGAGGAGGAAGGAGCGGCAGAGACAGCGTGTGATGAACTGACCACAACCCCCATTCCCTGTCCCCCTGCACCGCTCAGGGGAAGGAAGTAGAGAAATCAGGAGCGAAGCTGAGCCTGGGAAGAAGGGAGAGGCGAGGGGAAGGAGTTTTAAGATTTGGTTTTATTTCTCATTAACCTACTCTGATTTGATTGGTAAGAAATTAATTTAATTTTCCCCAAGTCAAGTCTGTTTTGCCCACGATGTTAACTGGTGAGAGATCTCTCCCTGTCCTTATCTCAACCCACAAGCTTCTCCTTATACTTTCTCCCCCTTGCCCAGTTGAGAAGGGGAGTGAGAGCTGCTTTGGTGGGCACCTGGCATCCAGCCAGCATCAAACCCACCACATCCATATTACTCTCTAAACTTAATATCTAGCTGCAAATATACTCATGCATGCATTTCTGTACTAATAAAGATTTTACCCTGAAATAATCCACGTGTTGGATTACTGGTATAGGTTGTAATCATGAACACCACTGTTACCAATGTGGGCTTTTTGTGGGTTTTATTTGTTTTAAAAACTCCTCAAAAATATCATTTGACCCAGACACTACAGGCAGTATACACACAGCTAGGCTAGAAACCAGGTCAAGGTATGGTGCTCAGCCTTGAAGAGCAGAAAAACCCTGGAGTACAGCCAACCAACGTCGCACTAGCAAGTGGAAGGGGCAGCACAAAGGAGAGAAGACTGGAATTCCCTAAGGCAATACTGAAACACACACATTAGATCAGAGCCCTCCTCAACCTCTTGGAATGCTTTTCCCCTAGTCCTAAAAAAAAAAAAGCACTCTCATTTACCATGTAAGCATATATTGGTGGGAAACAAGAGCTGCCAAGGAATCTGAGATTCACATGCATTCGAGTGAGATGCTAATACCGAGAGGATCATTTATGCCTGTCTAAGGGAAGAGCATACAGAACTGAGAATAACCTTTTCAAAAATCTGTAATAAGGCTGTTATTTTCAAGGACCAGCTTCTTCATTGCTTACAGAATGTTGTTAGTAACTAAACACCTTTGAAATAAGTGAGACCAAGAAAGTCTTGCAGCCCAAGCAGTACAATGCAAATTTGCTACAAGCTTTATGTAGTATATGAAATACTGAACTACATGCAAAAAAAAAATTCAAACACATATTTAAACAGTGTATAGCAGCTACTGACATTCAATTATTCTCACAGGTAGACCACAGGAAAGGCTGCAAACGTCTCATTCCAACAAGTCTAGCCTGGCTATTCTCTTCTATCAGCTTCATGATAGCTGTCCATCTACAATTCCTTATTTCACACCAGTATCTCAAAATAAAGGAGTTTTACAGTTCTGTTTGATTTAGGTCTTGGCAGAGGGCTCTAGGCATTTAGACAGAAGTACTAACAAACAACAAAAAAACCCCAAACAAAAACCACAAACCACCAAACAAGAAAATTTTGAATAATGCCCTCTTGAGGGAAATTGAGCTGTATTGCCTTAGCAAAGCCATCCTCCCTTCACTGCTATTCAGGGCACACTAAATTTTCCCCCATTGCCTTGCCATGTGGTTCAAGATTAGCAGAAGTTCTTGAAAAGCAGCATTAGACTCACATCCAGGAATCAATTATCTCTAGATATAGTTTGGTTATGTTTTATTTCTAGGTATTTTAGGTACAAACAAATAGACAGGCCACTCTGAAGGCACAAGAGCCTATTAGAAATGTGTAAACCTGTCCCTGGAAATCAGAAGTTTTATTTCTTCATGAATTGCAGCCTTTTATTTTACCCAACAGCTGGTGTTGCAAAACCCAAGAGCAGGAACCAGAATCTAGCATTTTCTTTGTCCCGCAAATTCCTAATCACTGGGCTACACAAGTATGATCTCTCTAGCCTAAGAATCTTGATCATTCCGTGCAGTTTCCTGAAGGACAGTAAACTTATCCCGTCAAAATAATTTGCTGGCTGGAGTAATCCTTTGCAGTATCTATTTGAATCTTTTGAGAATCTGTTTCCCCGAGAGCTGTTGGAACATCCACGCTGTGGAACACAACATCCAACCAGTTGTTAGGAGAAAGCGGATATTACTGTTGTATTTCTAGAATATCGTCAACATGAATTTGCTTTGAATATCTATAGCATCACCAAAACCACAAAGATAAGCCACACCCCAAAATTCACAGAGAAGTTAAAAGAAGGAACACTTTGCTTCCTGTATCTTGTCAAGCTGGGATATAGGCTAGACTGACATGACAAGAAGGGATATATCAGGAAAGCTCAAAGAAAACTCTACACAATTCGCCATATGTCTTCAAGAATTTTGTAGTATTTTAAGTCTGGAAAAACCTAAAAATTATGACACAGCTTTTCACAGACATCAAGATCATTAGAAAGAACTGCCAATGAAAAGCAACATCTTCCCTTATAGATAGTATCTGTGTCACACTAGACTGTTATGGCAAAGGGAGTTGAGCGCTCCGGCACATGGAGAACATAATGCTTTAACACACAGCACAAAAAGTTTCATTAGAAAACTCACTTTCAAAAGCACAATACCCAAAACATGACTAATTATTCCACATGTGGCCTAGTGCATGAAATCCATAAAAAATTTTTCTGTCCCTCGCATGTACTTAACATCTTTAGCCCTTGGAAAAGATCGGCTACCTTAGCAGTTCGACTTTCAATAGTGTCTAGACCAGATGCTGCTGCTCAACACTGTACGACTGTTGGGATAAAGAGTACACTCACTTAAAAACACAAACTTGTTTACACACAACCCCCCCCCCCCCCCC